GGGTAAATGGTACAGTTTCGGGTTGGGTTTATCGGTTTCGGGTTATAACGAATCAGTTTATAACGGGTTGAAATGATTAGCGGGTCGATTTGGGTTGGTTTTCAAAATTATCGGTTCAGTTTAGTTTTGTTATTAATTGCGGTTTTTATTCGGGTCGGGTCCTAATCGGATCAGGTTGTAATCGGTTCGGGTCATAATCAGTTTGAGTTAAACTAGGTCGGTTAGAAAATGAGTTTAGCCTGTTTAAAGCGGGTTTTAGTTCAAAACAATTCAGGTCCTAATCGATCGGGTTGCATTGTAATCGGTTTAGGTCATAATTAGTTTGACTAAATTGGGTCGATTTGAAAATGGGGTTCGGTTCAAAACAGATCGGGTGAAATCGGGTCATTGGTTAAGGTCATAATCGGTTTGGATTGAATTGGGTCTGTTTGGAAACAGTATTATCCAATATGAAGCGTGTTTCAGTTCATATCATATCAAATTAAAATCGAGTCGGATCATTATCGAGTCTGGTTAATCGGATAATGGGTAGGAACGGGTTAGGTTATAATCGAGTTAAGTCTTATATAAGTTGGGTTTATCGAGTAGTGGGTTGAAACGGATTATCAGATCATAAATATATCAGGCTACGAGTTGTAAACGGCGCGGCTCAATCATAATGGATTACAATTGTAAACGGTTCGGTTTTAACGGGTTATGGGTTATAAACGGTTCGGTCACAGAGGGTTACGGGTTGGAACGGTTTAGGTTAATTGGATTTTTGCCGGGTTTAAACGGTTTTCGGTTTAAAATGGGTTGGGTTACTATCGGGTTCGGACATAATCGGTTCAGGTTGCTTTCGGTTTTCGACTGTAATGGTTTGACTTGATAACGGGTCGGGTCATTAACGGTTTGCACAACTTCGGTTCAGTTCAGTTTCGGGTTGGAAAAAATTTGATCGGGTTGGCTTTCTGTTTTCAAAAAATGGTTTTTAACGGTTCGATTCCTTTACAAATCGGTTCAAAACAGTAAAATTTAACGGTTCGAGTTAGATACTGACAGCTCTATACCTACCCAACGAATCAAATCTCTTCCTTTTTTACAAACCCAAGACCAAAAAATTCTTTCTTGCAAAACATCAAGTCATAAATTTTCTCTCTCCTCTGACCTGTGCAGTGCCCACAATTTCTGGGTTCCAAATTCCCAGATCTAATAACATCTTTGACATTTCCCCGTAAATCCCCATCACAATCACCCCATTCCCTCTTTCTCTCTCCTCCTTCTCCTTCGATCTCTCCGTCATTCCCTTTCCCTCATTCTTATTATATATACACCTCCTCCCCAAAATGTCTCACTTTTACCATTCCTCAAAACTCTTCCTTCTAATCCAAACATGAGCTCCGATTCCCTCCGTAACAGAAAACCACCACTCAACGGTATTAGTAACGGTAACGATAACAGTATTTACTACAGTGATGGTGACGGTGACAGAATGACGGTGATGAAAGGGAAGAAAGGAGGATTAAAAGGGTTTATGGAAACGGCGTCGTTTATGAAGTGGGGGATTGATGACATGGTTGGGGTGTTGAAGTACCATCCATTACCCTGCTTTTTTGCGGTGGCGTTGCTTTTCTTTATGGGTGTTGAGTATACTTTACGCATGATTCCGAGCGATTCCCCGCCGTTGGATGTTGGCTTTGTTGCGACTCGTTGGCTTAATCATGTCCTTTCTACCAGTCCTTCTTTTAATACCCTCCTCGCCGCTCTTAATACGGTATCTATCTGTTTTCGTTTATGTTAAATGATTCTATTACACACTTGAATGTACCTGTATTATATATATATTTTTTTTTATTGATCGGGTTTAAATGAGCTGTAGTCCTTTGAATATACAGTGGACGGTATCCGTGAACATAATAATAAGGTAAGTGTCATGGAAATAGAAAAATGTTACAACGTGAACGTAGTTATTGTGGTGATTTTAAATTAATGACTGATATTGTAATGAGTGCATTGATGTTTTAAGTGATAATAAATAATAATTCATTGATTAAGTGAAGTTAGCTAAGTAATCAAATAATATTGAGTGGATGAAGTTTATACCCTCTCATTTCTTGATTAATATGGTATTTTATGATTTTATCATTGATGAATTGATGAATGAAAGTTTAAAGAGGATTTTTTGTTTTTGGAATTTGAAATTGGGTTATATTTACCTCAATGACTCTAATATATGGATTATCGAAAAGAATTAATCTTCTTTCCTATTCCATGGTTAAGAGAAGTTAGTTAAGTGATCAGATAATATGAAACGAATTTAAGTTTTTATATGGTGATTTTATCTTTGCAATTGATAGATGAAATTATGTTAAGTATCAATATTATTTTTGCCTTATTAACCCAAATATAGGTATTTTGGAAAAACTTTAATCTTCTTGCCTAATCACATTCTTTTTATCTGTCATGTATTCAATTTGGATAGAAAGAAGTATAGATAGGAAAATGGGGTTGAAGTTTTAAATTATTGGTATAGGGGTTTGGGATTAGGTGAATGTCAATGTATTAACTTAAATTTTGGGTTGTTCAGTTTTTTAATTAATTGTTTAAATTTGATAATGATAGGTGTTTGTGGGGATGCAAACTACATACATAGTGTGGGTTTTCCTTGTAGAGGGACGAGTGAGACCGGGACTTGCTGCCTTGTTTATGTTCACTTGTAGAGGAATTCTCGGTTACTCTACTCAACTACCGTTGCCTCAGGTATATTTCTTGTCTTGTCTAACACTTCGTCGTACATATTTATCTTTAAATTTCGACCCTTAACTATTTTTGTATAAGCTGTTGTAATTAGTCATTTACTAGTGCTAATTTTTTTTATTTATCTCCTGCTCAACAATTTTGTTTGTAATTACTCATGTTGGTTGGCGAAGTCTTGTGGCGTGTAAATATGTTGAAACCTGTTTTTACTCGGTATATAATAATCCCTTTGTCCCTCAGTAATCTACGTGCTTGTTCTTACCACAGAGAGTTAAATTAGTGATTAAATATAAATCAAATAATTGAGGGTTGATACTTGAAAGAGAAAATAGCAAGACAAAGTGACCGACTTGTCGGAGAAGAAGAATGGTTAATATGATGAATTACATCATTGTGGGACAACATTGCAAAATTGAAACTAACAATTATTCTCTAGTCATAACTTTCAAGTTTTGCCATTCGACTTGTCTATGTATGACAGTATTTACTATTAACAGTAATGGTAGTTGCTAAATCCCTCTTTAAAGGCCGCCTTACTAGTTGTAGCATGAACTAACTACTCTATAAAGGCCGCCTTACTAGTTGTTGCATGAAAAAACTCCCTCTTTAAAGCCAACCTTTTTGGTTAATAGTGGCATTTATTTGCTACCTTCCTCTTTAAGTGCCCCACCTTTTGGTAGTTTCTATTGTCTAGTATTTTTCTTTTGTGTAGTACTAGTACTATTTATTGAAAGTGATAGCATATTTATGAAATAGCAAACAGAGGATATGGTTCATTGAATATATTTCACAGATTCGTACTTCTTGTTACCTGTATTTATTGTCATACTTGGAAGATGAAAGGAATTGCATAATGTTCTTGTGGTTGCAAACCTCTAATTTTTTAGCTTCTCCCGTGAACTTTGGTGCTTGGTTGGAAGTTTAACCTATCCTAGCTGGCCATATTGGGACCATCGTGTTTTTGCTAGTTTTTTCGTTATGGTTGTTCTATCTTTTTTGGAGGGGGTAGCAGAATATTTAAAATAGATCTACATTGACCTACAATAGCAAGATGTTAAGCATCCTGTTGCATTGCCAGCACTATTGGCTTTTGGCTCTTCTGTTTGTTATTGGCAATTTGGCATACAACTTTCATATCCCATACCATAGTCCGGAAAAGAATTTTTATTGCTTTCACGTTCTCGACCACACGTAGTAAAGGAAACAAGCTAGGCAATAAATGTTTATGCTTAAGATTAGGATTAAAATATGATTATGTTATTGTTAGCGATGCCAATAATGCATCTTCTTGGCATGAGCTGATCTGGTCAGATTTTCCCTCCCTAAAAATTTTAGCTTTCATAACTTTGATTAAACCTTATATTGTTGACCTTTGCTGTCAGGACTTTGTGGGTTCAGGAGCGGATTTCCCAGTAGGAAATGTGTCTTTCTTTTTGTTCTACTCAGGGCACGTTGCTAGCGCTGTGATTGGATCTTTAGACATGAGGCGCATGCAAAGAAGGGGATTGGCATGGACATTTGATTTTCTTAATATCTTGCAAATAGTTAGACTGCTTGGAACAAGAGGTCACTACACAATTGATCTAGCTGTTGGTGTAGGAGCTGGCATGTTATTCGACACTCTTGCTGGAAAGTACGAGGAGAGCAGGAAAATTTCAGTTGCACCTTCCCCTACTAATGGAGTCTACTCTTCAATAAGGTAGTTTTAAAAAGAATACAAGGGATGGCTGGGCAGAATAGGTCCAGGAGATGTATGTATTAATGTAAACATGGAGGTTGGTGCTTGAGTTCAGTCTTATTTACAACTAAAGCTAGATGTACATTATTGAGTAATGGCTAATCTCAAAGGGTTCTTTCATAATTTTTAACTGCATTTTGTTGAAATATTCTTTTTTTAGCTCACGATTACACGTTTACAGCGACCGATTTAAATTTACTAGTTTTTCTGAAGTCTGCTGCTGTAAATCTAGCTGAAGAACCGAAGGAGGGTTTTTTAATTTTGGCATCCAATATGTTAGGTCTAACAGAGTTTCCTTTCTTTGTTGACTTATCAGGGTATCGACTGTTGTTTGGTGACATTAAATGCTAAGCACATCTACTTTTAACTACTCATATTAGTCGTGTACGGAGTATTATTTTCCGTTTCACTAAAATTGCAACAAGTTGTAATCAACGCAATATTTTAGGCTAGAGGAGAGAGAGGAAGCAAGCGGTTTTAAGAAAAGGTTGTGTGATACATCCATGAGTATAGACTATAGACAGACTTTTTTCACACTGCTCGGTGCATCAAATGGTGTCATTACGATTTTAATTCGAAGAACAATCTTTTACAGTAAATTTGAGTTTCTATATCCAGTTGAAGTAATTCTTTGATATAACAAAATGATAGGTGGCTTCATCTGCTTTTATATTTACAGTATATGAGACATTATACTAAAATTATTGATCCTCTGAATCTGATGAATATGGGGGACATGACCCATCATCTACATTGGCAAGTGGGTTAAACATAGGCGAGCTTGGATCTAGGCATCCCGGTACAAGATCCAAATTACAGCGATCACCCTGCATGAAATACAGTTATAGCTGAAGTTAGAATATGCCGTCTTAAAAAGAGTTCAAACTTATAAAAGGCTTCGACTAAGATATGAACTGCATCACTTACCCCTTCGGCGGTCAGATTGCCAGCAATGGCACATCTTGTGATGACAATGTTTGTGTCTGGAAAGATTGCCTTGTCACAAGCACCCTCTTTGCTCAACTCTTCTGCTAGGCCCTGTATTGTTCGCAAGAAACCAATCAGAGATCTGTAATAGGTTTAATGATAACGATGAATGCAGGTATTGTCACGCTTTGACGAACTCAGCAGGTATCATCAAGCCAAACACTGACCATAATCAAATCTTTTGGTTTATTGTTATTGATTGCAATACATTTTAGTTTTTCTAGCATTAAGGTTTCTACCATCACTTTGGCTCTAACGGTGTTAAACTATGTAAACTTTGTTTGCTCTGAAACAGGCCGGGAAACTTGTCAGTTTGACCAGATACGATAGCCAGGCCACTTCAGAAGTCAGAACTGTCATTCATCCCACTCTGTACTGTTACCTGAACTCAGATCTGTGATTCTATTAACGTTGCATATACTCTTTCCATCACCACCAGGCAACTTTCTAAACTTTGTAGTTTGCCATACATGATAAGACTATTGCTATGCAATCCAAAAGATGAAAAGAATACACAGATAGTGAAGATGTTAATACTTACTGTGACAATATATATTAACCTATATCAAAGTGGCCTATTATTTAGGGACGACAGGAGTATGTGCGCATACCTGACCTGTAGGAAGTAGCTATATCAGAATGACACATGTGCTTGGGATTATTCATGACCAACAAAGTTTGTCAAGGTCTCGCTGAGAGGAAGACCAACAGAGTGCTTGCTAGCTTGCATGGATTAGTCTTAAGTGGTAATGTGCATTACTGTTAGAGTTTTCCTTATTTCGGAAACTATACATACAGTACTGCATATCTCTCCATAAATCTAATATGAAGTATATGATTTATAAGTTTGATGCTGTCAGTAAGTTCTAGTCCACATTCCAAATCCTAGGTTGTGAGAAATCTAGTTCTTGACTTTATTCTAGTTATAAGATGCTATTTGTTGAACATTTAAACATTCAATGATGGCCAATCTGCAGCAAAAAAATTATCCTTAAGCTTACCTCATTAAAGAAATTGACTGGTTTGTTTTGCAAACCCCTGGGAATTTGAAACTGCAGTCTGTAAGGACCATCCCACTCGGATCCGTTGGTGAAGGAGAAAATCAAGTTCATAGCTGAAATTATACATCACATAACTGTATATTAGCAAAAATATCCAAAGGTTACACAAAGGCAGGTGAAGTGGTGAAATAAAATACACACCATGCTTAGGAATGCATATTTGAATGGTATAGATCGGAGCATCAGCTTTGCCTCTCGATTTTTTGAGCATCGCTCTTGGCTCACCCCCACACATAATTGGCTGATTAAAACCACCTACGGAATCAGATCAAGCATTAACATTATATGATTGGGGCTGCACAAAGTATCTGATAAGGGAAAATTTGTTACCATTAAAGGCTATTCCGAATTCTTCATTAGGCTCAAGTTTGGCAGCAGCTGGATTGTAAAAAATTCTGAGTTTTTCTCCCTATCAGTTTAGCAACTGTGTTTGTCAGGTGAATGATCTAATGTAGAATTAAGTATAACGAGGTGATGAAGGTATATACATACCGCAGTTGGAGGAAGTCCGTTCATGGTTTTCCAAAATACAGGAGCTATTCCGAACTCAAATTCAGCCCATTTAGGCAGCACAAACCTACAAGAAGCGAAAATTGAAACAGAGAATATACATCAGGTTGTTGCAGTGAGTAATTCATAAAGAATATACATGCCACATATGAACATAATATGTCGTAAATTAAAATCAAACGAACTTTATCCAAGGATTTTGTATTATGTATTCTCCCTAAATTAATGTGTACAATAGCTAATATTGGTTTACATACTCCTTTATCTCATCTTTTGGACTTGTTGCGACAGCTGCTTCTGTCGCAACAGCTCTAACTTGCCGATCCTTGATGCTGATAACTTTATTTCGTGTTATAGGATTCTCACGCAGTGGACTACCAATCAGATTATTGCCTGCATTAAGAAATGAAATCTTCATTTTCAGCATTGAAGGTTTGAGTTATTGGTCTCATACTATAATTTGAGCTGCGAAAGCTCATATATAATATATATATACTGAAATATGCACTAGTAACAATTATACGGAATTTCAACGGATGACTTTGGTTATTTTAAACAGTTACCTAGAAGCAAAGTTCCGGGGCTTCCATTACTAACCGGAATATGCTGTTTTGACACAGCAAAAATCGCGGTAGCTGCTGTTGCTGCCATTGATCACTCAGTTACTTGGAGTTTCAGCTCGAATTTACTGGCTTTCTTTTGTTTACAAAATTCTGCACAGAGTTAGTTCATCACTTTGATGGGAGATATAAGAGGGTGTTAATAGCAAATAACATATTGATGTGTTGAATTTGGATAAGAGAACAAGGAAGAACCACACAAAATCAGGCAAAAATATCTCTCCAATGATAAACATGCAGACAAAGAAGTCAATGTATGTGTGTAAGTGTAACTGTCAAATTTGAACAATGTAAAAAATCCACCTTAAAATATCTAAACACAAGTGTTGAATATCTAAGAAGATAATGGGTGGAGTTAAGTGGGTGCAAAGGCCAAGGGTAATTATATTTAGGGTATAAAGACAGACTAATACAAGATCAATTGCGTTTGAGTTTGATTCTATTAGCAATTATCTTTTTGTTCCAGGCAGGGTAGTATGGACAAAATGAGGTATGAACAAATGGATCGGGTAGGGTTCTAGAGTCAATATAAGGGAGTCGTTTGCAAAGGAATATTCATAACACTTAACATGTAAGCTACCCTTGAGGGTTATTCAAGGCTGTGTCCACTGTCCACCCAATTATTAGTTTGTGCACCCGAGTGCACAGTGCTTATTGTGCTCTAGTGAATATTATAGCTAAATTCAAAGAACATAAAAGGCTCCGAGTAAAATAAAAGAACATAAACATTTAAAGAACATTAAGAATTAAAATGAATGGAACATTGACCACTAAAACCCAACAAATAACATGCAACTTAAATGTAAAGAATGAACAAGTCTAATATCCATACTAAAAAATACATGCAGTTCAAACCCAAAACACATGTATTTTTTTTAAATATAAAAAAATTAAAAAAACTTATCGTATAAAGTAAATAAACATATGTTCCATAGTTCAATTATCAAAACCAAAGATCGAACACAAAATTCGATTGTTATTTGAATAGATGCACCATGCACACCAAATAATTTGCAGTGACCACCAACTTAGCTTCCTACCGGTTCGTCGATACGGTCATACCCAAATTTAGTGGGTCCATGTTTATTGGGCCTTTGGCCTGCATATTTATGGGCCTTAGGCCTGCATATTAATGGCCCTTACTATGATAGGGTACCAATATGATATCCTGCACTAGGATCCAAATAACATCGGAAGTTTGGAACCATTTTATAACATCTTCATGACCTCATCAATTGCCAGTTTGCCACTAACTTAGACGGAAATAATTCTCATTCATTAAGTTTGCCACAAATTTAACGTATAAGAAAGTTGGGAATTAGAGCAAATTTTCTCGAATGCAAAGAGTTTTTTCCTTGCAAGTTAGTGCAAATTGGTCTGAGTAATTTGCTTCTAAATTCGCAGCAAAATTTATTTAGAATTCTGTTTGTCCAACACAAACTAATACCCCGTTAGACATTTAAACATTGTTTTTTAAAACATAAAACTTTATAATAATTTGTCTTATTTGAAGTTTTATCGTTAAGTCGTAAACCCATCAAGTTTAAACCCTTATGTCGTTGTAGGATATTATATTTAGATCAAACGTCTAAGATCTTGCAGGAGAGAGTTCACTTTAGTGACCTAGCGTTTTCCAATTTTAAATCCACTATTACTAAGGAACAGTAATTTTGGAATAGTGGACTTTTATATAGGTTATAGATACGCTTCTATTCTATTTTAAATATTCCATGTTTCATCCTAATTGTGTTAACTATGTAGAATTACAGAGTATATTAAAACTAATGTGTGACTTGGATGAAGCAACTTACTACATATTATATGGAAGAAAATGCATGTTTAATTTTTTTTTAATAAAAATTATTCAATAAATTTTTGTTAAAATGGTAAATAAAATGTAAGGACATTTTAATTATTTTAGGTAGCTAGACAACAAACAACACAAGAGTGACTTATTTGTTAATTAAAAAAATTTGTCCTCTCTAAACATTCTTCATATCAAAATATAATTCCTGATTTCATTTCAATTTTTTTTATTTTTTATTTTTTTATTTTTATATTTTAATCAAACTCTAAACACATTCTCTCCCGTTAATTTAAAATCATCTATTTTCCATCATTTATTTTTACTATGGAGTATTACATAAACAAACAATACCATCTAAAACTAAGAGATTTCCTTCCAACAAAAAAAAAAATAACTCTAAAACTAAGAGAAACAACGTGCATATAGTTCATCACTTAGGCTAAAAAACTACTCCAAGTTTTAATTACAATATGTCAATATGAATGGAAAACATAAGGTTCAAAGACACGACAAGTGGCATACACAATTTACGTAATGTAAGTTACGCATGTAATCGTGTATTTCTTACCCCTTAATCTAGCTATCAATCCACGTTAGACAACTTACATTTCTCTATCAAATCTTTTGGCTATTGAAACGAACCTTATAATTGAATTAATAAATTTCTCTAAACTCCTTAAAAACCTATATAAATATAAAATCCATCAATAATCTAGTCACAATATTAACCATTTATTTCTTAGCTATAATGTCATCAACATCAAACTCCAAACTAAACCCATCTCCCATTAGCCTTTCCTCAAATGAGGGAAGTGTAAGGAAAAGATCATCAACGAGTTTGGAATCGGATTTGGAACCAGAATTGAGATCGTATTCATATAGAATATGGCGGTCTAATGTTGTAGTGAAGAACCCAAGGAATGTGTTTGCGGAAGGGAAATGGGAATCCTTATCAGTTGGAACATTAAGCGCAGTTGTGATTGTTCATGTGTTAGCTCTTTTTGCACCATTTACATATAATTGGGGTGCATTTTGGGTGGCTATAGTTCTATCTTTGGTAACCGCGTTATTTGGTATATGTCTTTCGTATCACCGGAATTTGACTCACAAAAGTTTCAAGTTACCCAAATGGCTTGAGTATTTCTTTGCTTATTGTGGGGCCTTAGCACTCCAGGTTGGTTACACTCGGAAATAAATGTCACATTATCAAGTTGTTAAGTCGGGTCAAATTGATATAGCAAAAAGGGTTTAATAGTTAAATTAAATAGAGATAAAGGACTACAATTTTATGGTGACATTTTTTTGTCTTCTTTTTATTAAATTTATTTAATATGATTTGATTTAATTTGATTATTGAATTTTTCAGGGGAGTCCAATTGATTGGGTGAGCACACACAGATTCCACCATCAATTTTGTGATACGGAGCAAGACCCACATAGTCCTCTTGATGGATTTTGGTTCAGCCACATGAATTGGTTGTTTGATGCTAACGTTATTATCGAAAGGGTAATGTTATACTATAGGAAAATTTGTTTGAAAGTGCATAATTATCTCACATTTTTAGTAGTAAACAACTAATTAAGAGTAAACTTAGCTAAATATACTTCAACTTCTCAGTATTTTGTCAATTAAATAATTTGAACATGTAAATGATAGTAATTATGTACCAATATTGGACGTTATACAAAGAAATTTATAAATCTATATGATGATTATGAATCATATTCACTTAAAAGGTAACATTTTATTATTAATAGTTGTCCTTGACGTATGAAGGTTCATCATGAGTATATAATTATATATATATATATATATATATATATATATATATATATATATATATATATATATATATATATATATATATATATATATATATATATATATATATATATATATATATGACTATTTGTTTTGTGTTTTATACGGAAGAATTACTAAGCCAGAACCTCTCTTTGTTGTGAAACGAGTATATTAATATCAAGATAATTTGTTCGTTTTGCAGTGTGGCGAGCCAAACAATGTAGGAGACCTAGAGAAGCAAGCATTCTACAGATTCATGAAAAGAACATACATTTTGCACCCAATAATTCTTGGAGGAATACTCTATGCTTTTGGAGGATTTCCCTACGTTGTTTGGGGAATGGTAATTTATATTAAGCATTCACACTTTATATATTATGTTATGCAAAGTTTCTTTTGTCTTAGCTTCAAAGTTATAGAGTAGCCGCTATTATCTTTAACTTATTGAGTGGCACATGAAATGCGTAGCTTAATATGCATGGTGTAGGTCATTAATTAGGTGTGTGATAAATAATTAATTACATAACTTCAAAAGCATGAATGAATTGAAGACTTTAAGTTTAATTTTGATTTTGTCCATTAATAAAAGTAGAATGCATTTAATTAGGGTTCATCTTTAGAAAATTAATAAACATGGATAAATACCTTGCGACTACCATCTAGAATTAATAGAATGTCAAACATTTTATTTATTTTTTTATAGAAAGAGGTCAGCCTTATTATTGACACTTTGAATATATATATGGAGTATATAAATGTGTAGCAAGTAATTTACAAACAAAGTACATGTCTTTATATGTATGTTAAACAATGTACTTTATTTCTCGATTTGGGCCTAAGAAAATATTAAAAATTTTAATACAGGGAGTGAGGACTACGTGGGTATATCACATCACATGGTTCGTGAACTCTGCTAGTCATATATGGGGAGAACAAGCTTGGGATACTGGTGATCTATCAAAAAATAATTGGTAAAACATTCGACTTTTTTAAAATAATTTCGTAATCATGCATTTCTATGTCTCTACATAATATAGCTTGGCATGCATATCATTTGCTTTTACTAATTAATAGTGTGAATTAAAAATTTATATGTGATTTATCATCAGGTGGGTGGCATTGCTTACATTCGGAGAAGGTTGGCACAACAATCATCATGCATTTAAATACTCCGCAAGACATGGTTTTGAATGGTGGCAAATTGATATGACTTGGTATGTCATAAGGCTTCTTGAAGTTGTTGGTTTGGCCAATGATATTAAGCTTCCTAGTGAGGCTCATAAACAACGCTTGGCATTTAAAAGTGAGGGAATAACATCTTGAGCCTTAAAGGAACCATGCATAAACTATGATGGGATCGATGCAATTTCTAAGGTTTACTATCTCTGTTCGGTTTAAATTTATCTGTCATATTATAACAGTTTCAATATCTCTACGGTAAAATATGACAATTAATTTCGAATAGATGGTGGATAATGTAGATCTTATAGTTCATGCTACAGTTCTTTATAATTAATATATATAGTACTTAGTATATCTTATGTGATTCATAAACTCAAGTACATTAGTACATAGCAAATTTCCACTATTCTTTTACCTAGTTCAATTGTTTAATTAAATAAATTTATAATATTCGTATCATACCATTAAAATGATTTCAAGCAAATTAAGGGTCAAATGTTCATTACAGATCAATTTTATCGGGTCTATATCCAAAGAGACAAGCGTCTAGCTAGCTTAGTACTCTGTATTGTTTACATAATGTTACAATACATATTTTCAAACGAATTAATAAAAGCATGTCACATATAATGCGGGGATAATAATCAAGGTCCGAGTATATATAATGTATGGTTCAAAATTTGAAGGAAGCTTGTGATTTTTGAGGTAATAAAGTAGCCACAAATTAAAAGCATGGTAACTTGTACTTTACTCGGTTAAAATTATCCAATGTATAATAATGTTTGACAAAAAAATCAACCTTTTTAACGCGCATATAGCCGCATACCTTGAATGTTTGATCCCCATAAATTACTTGAAGGTCAGAAAAAAAAAAAAAAAAAAAAAAAAAAAAAAAAAAAAAAAAAAAGATTATCTGAAAACAACTACGTTGTCAAAGAAGTGAAAATAACGTTAACACTTTGTATATTATTAAGGGATTGGAAAATTATAAATGATGTTTATGATATATGATTGGGAGACCTAAACAAATGGTATACCTAGAAGGGACAGGCTTCATATAAACTTCTTCATGCAGGTCACCGTGCAAAAATGCATTGTTAACATCGTGTTAATTGGGGAACGAACTTTCCAATTCTTTGCCGTGTACATTTCTGCCATTAATCACCCGAGTATTTCAAGTTTTAGCTCAAATTTACTGCCTAGTTTAAACTATTGAAACAACTTAAATTAGTTCGTTACTCTGGCAAGGGATTTTAGACACTCATATTAAAGTGTGAAAATAGGATAGTACACCCGGGTGCACTATGCGCATGGTGCACCCGCTTTAACAAAAAAAAGGCGAAAAAAACATACCTCTATTTGACAAAGAACATACCTGCGTTTGACAAAGAACATACCTATGTTTGATATAGAATATATCGATTTGATAATATGTTCTTTGAGTTTGATTAATGTGTTCTTTGGGCATGAACTATATGTTCTTTACATACATTATAACTTATGTTTTTTAACATATGTTGATTAAACATGTTTTTTGGGTTTCAATAATACAAAGAATATTAGTATTTGAATTTTGAATTTGGCTTTTATATTCTTTGAGGTAATGAGTGACGCACTAATTAAAGTGTATGTATGACTAGCAAACACTAAACTTGGAAAATTTGGGATAAGAGAACATGAAAAAAGAACCACACAAATTCAGCAAAAGATATCACTTCTCCAAAACTCCAATTGACAAACATGTAGACAAAGATGTTGTTAATGTGTGAACTGCTAACAACGTAAAAGCTACGCCTCAAAATATCTAAAAACAAGTGTGGATTTATTATAAGATTTACTGATTTAGTAGAGGTATAACTAAGAAAATAGGGATATGCAAAGACCCCTCTCCATATCCAAATTTTACACATAAATTATTTATGTTATTTGGACTCTTTACTTTATCTCAAGCATTCGTGTCGGATCCTCAATGCTTGAATATGAGTGATATTTTGACTCTTCATGTTGGATCAAAGTTGTGAAATTTTTTACTTATGCATGGAATATATAGGACCGAATAAGACACTTAGACACATACGCATGTTAAACATAAATGGCCGAGTTTGAACAAGGGTTATATATACCCATAGCAAGTGACCACACATGTATCATCCCACAAGTACAAATCTAAAATTCATATTCATTTTAGTGAATATCCACTACCCACCTATATGAATAGATATAGCCACCCCACCAACCATTTAAATTATATATCCACAACCATAGGCCATAGCCCTTCCACCAAATTTGATTTGTTACCTTAATAATAGGGGGGTTTTTGAATTAAACTCTTTTTTATTTCTTTTTAAAGAAGTCCAAACGACACTTATTTTCATTAATCAAAATCATACGATATCTGCATTATAATTAACGATTAATGAAAGAAAATAGATTTAACAAAATCAAACAAGAATTAACCGGGAAATGACTAAAACTCCAAATACATATATATAACAATTCGACACATTTTCAATTCGTTAACTAATTCTTAATTAATTTCAAATCCATCATCTACTCATCATTTATGTAAAAAAAAAAGACGTAACAATTACATAGATTAATCATGGGACATAGAATTTGGATTCTATATGCATGAGATGGTTATAATCTCTAGTCAAAAACAAAATCTAATCCTTATCAATCCACGCATGTTAAACCACTTGAGCTTTCACTCTCAAAAACTCCAACCACGAAAACGTTACCACAACTTCATTTCTCAATAAAAATAAAATTAAATTAAAATCGCGCTACTCGGCCTAAACCGTCATAAAACCCAACATAACCGCAAACTCACAAGAACACCCTTTTCATGGCTCTCATTGCATCAACCCCTAACTCCAAACTATTCAATCAATCTTCCATTTATCTCAACAAACCACAACCTAGTACAACTCTACGTTACAACTTCAAACTACCCATTTCGAAAATTAGCCTTTCCAAACGCTTAGCATTAACGACTCATATACTCATTTGCCAATATGGGGAGTCACCAAATAATGCTCATAATGAGGCAACAAGAAGTAAAAGGACGACGAGGGTTTCGGCCATTTCAACACCGGGGTTGGAGTCGTATTCCCATAGGATTTGGTGGTCGGACGTTGTCGTAAAGAGTCCAACGAATGTACTTGTTGAAGGAAAATGGGATTCTATATCAATTGGGAATTTAGGTGCGGTTGTTATGATGCATGCGTTAGCTCTTTATGCACCATTTACGTTTAATTGGGGTGCATTTTGGGTGGCTGTGGTTTTGTATTTGGCTACGGGATTGTTGGGTATTTGTCTTTCGTTTCACCGGAATTTGGCTCATAAGAGCTTCAAGCTACCAAAATGGCTTGAGTACGTCTTTGCTTATTGCGGAGCATTAGCCCTTCAGGTTCGTTATGTTGTTATTTTAACAAAATTAGTTATCACATTGTTACAATCCTCGAAAAATGCTAAGTGTGGAATTATTTATTTCAGTATTTTCTCTATTAGACTTTCACAAATTATCTACCCACCAAATTATTTTGTTTATCTCGCATTATTTTCATTTAAAACATCAATACATTTATTCTTGTCAGTAGTTTTTAATATTTATTATTATGCATTAAAGATTTATCCAATAACTTGTGCATAATAGTGCGAGTAAAATATCAAATGTCACACCAAGATAAATTAAATAGTATTGTTTTATACATTGTAATTTTAGTATGGTTTGCTTTTATTTGATTATCGATGATAAATTTTTTTCAGGGAAATCCAATTGATTGGGTGAGCACACACCGGTACCACCATCAATTTTGCGATTCGGAGCAAGATCCACATAGCCCACTTGAAGGATTTTGGTTCAGCCACATGAATTGGATGTTTGATGCTAAAATTGTTACCGAAAGGGTAATATATATTCTACTATGGGAGGATTAGGTTTTAATGAATCGGAGGATTAGTTTTGGGATGCATGATATACATATATTTATGACTAATCAAAAAGATAATTAGATAAATATAAAAGGCTAAAGATAACCTAATTTGATATTTTGGTTATCACCTTCTCACCACATTATCGTATAATGACAAAATTGTGAGAGATATTTAATATTTTCCTTGTTGGACAATTGAAAGCCGTATAATTTCAATATCTTGGTTAGTTGTTTGACAAAATTTTCTTAATAATTCAAATGCACAATATAACATGGTTAGTTGTTTTTATTACTGATTATTAAGTTCTTTTCGATTATGTTATGACTTATGACTTGTATTATCCTATTAATTGGTTTATTAAATAGTTGTTTAGTACTACTTCATGAGTAACAATTAATAATATAATCTTTCTTGGTTCTATGTTATTAAGATGACTAAAAATACAATTTAATATCAAGATTATTTATTTTTCATTTTGCAGTGTGGTGAGCCAAACAATGTAGGAGACTTAGAGAAGCAACCATTTTACAGATTTATGAGGAGTACATACATTTTTCACCCACTAATGTTGGCAGGTCTACTTTATGTATTTGGAGGATTTCCCTACCTCGTTTGGGGAATGGTAAGCACATATTTGCGCAACTTTTCTCCTCTTCAATGTTCAATCAATTTTCAATCACAAAAATAATGCAAAGGTGGCCACCCTTAGACCTTAGCTTATTAGTGGCCAGTACAAGTTGGTTTTAATTTGGCACATGACTTTCATGGTTTAATCGCCTCAAGTGGTTGGTGACATGGTGCACACGAATCACCGAGTGTACAAAAAAAGTTTTTAAGTCACGATTGATTTATGGTTTGGATTCAATAACGATTTAATTTACTTTAATGATTGAGATGTTGATTTAACGAGACTAGGACAAAAAAATTGTATTTCATCATGTTAGGATTTTCAATCACTAGATTGTACCTTTATTCTTAAAATAATTTAGTCAAATAAACAACTATCTTTTCTGAAGTTTAAGAAACTTTTTTGTGGTGGTGCAGGGAGTAAGGACTGCATGGGTATATCACATAACATGGTTCGTGAATTCTGCTAGTCATGTGTGGGGAACTCAAGCTTGGAATACAGGCGATTTGTCAAGAAATAACTGGTAATCTACTTGATTCCATTTCTACAATATTGCAATTTACGATTTTATTATACATCTATATTGAGCATCATCTATCACTAGCCTTCATTAATTGAATATGGAACCTATAATGTGAAATTTTCAGGTGGGTGGCATTACTTTCATTTGGGGAAGGTTGGCACAATAATCATCATGCTTTTGAATACTCGGCTAGGCATGGTTTAGAATGGTGGCAATTTGATATGACTTGGTATACCATCAAATTTCTTCAAGTTATTGGTTTAGCCAAGGATGTGAAGTTACCTACTGAGGTTCACAAGCAACGTTTGGCATTTGAAAATGATGGAATATAAACTTGAGGAAACAAAGAACACATTTTGCAATTGGATGCATTTCTTTTGTCATCATAATAACGTATATTTGTATAACTTGTTATAGAGAAATTAAAATTGACCGTGAAATTTTGATCCCAATGCAATCTCCTTGATTTGATGGTTAGCTACTTAGCTACATATGTATGTAGTATTTATTGTATACGATTTTATAGTAAGAAAAATTCTTTATAAAGTTATAGAAATTTGGATTTTAACACCAGAAAATAACCCAAAAATGGTTTTTAACACCTTAAAAAAAAAAAAAAAAAAAAAAAAATTTAACACTAGAAAAATTTTAAAAAAATTGGATTTTACCACCACTTAACGCTCTCCGTCTGAAAAATCCGTTAAGTGGGGTCCATAGTGACACGTGTCACCATTTTATTTGTTTTAAAAAAAATTAAAATTAAAAAAAAAAGAAATTTTTTTTAAGAAAAATAAAATTCCTAAATCTACCCAGCCACCCCAACCCCACCACTGCCACCTTCACCCAACGTTGTCGCCGGTGCATTCCCTCCCCCTCCCTTAGCCGACCGACCCACCTGAACCCTCCCCCTCCCTTTCCCGCAGCCCTAATCCGCCCCAAAACCACCTAACCGCAACCCTCCTTCGCCAAAAATGGCCACGAATTCGGCCACAATTGGCCGGTTTTGGGGCTGAGTGGCCTTAACCGACCGATTTCGGTCATTAATGACTCAAAAAAAAATAAGGACTTTAAGAGGCTGGTTACTTATGATAACTTCATGCTAAAACAAAACGGTATTATCCTTTATATCAATCCACATTAGACCACCTTAAGCTAACTTTTTCTCACAAAATTGTGGCTATTAATAATGATTTTAAAATCGAAGATAAATTCTCTCAAAAAAAAAAAAAATTAAAATATCGAAGATAAATCTCCACAATTGAATTCCATAAAACCCCACACAATCACATAATAACATGTAACATCATCAAATTTTAGAGTCTAAGGTTTTTTTTTTAATTTTTTTTTTTTTTTTTTTTTTTTTTTTTTTTTTGTGACAGTGAGAGAGAGAAAAAAACAAACAAACTAGAAAGACCAAGACATCTAGCCTTCCCGGCCAATCAGTGCGCTGGAGAAACCCTGGGAACCTTCTCAATCCTACAAGCATCAAACGAACCCACCAAAGATTGAAGATCCCGAAGTAGCCAAACCAAAGAAATATCTGCTCGACACTGCTTGACAAGAAGCCCACACATGGTAGCACAATCCGTGTAAACGAGAATCCGACGGTAGCCTCTCCGGTTCGCATTCCGCAGTCCCCAATAGCAAGCTAGTAATTCTGCATGTAGAGGCAAGCTAGCAAGTTAAATCACATAATTTCTTTCTACATTTTGATGTTAGTTTGTGAATTGTGATGGAGAACATATTCAGAATATACACCATAATCTAGCGGTTTGTTACCTTTCAAATTTGAATAGAGGCAAGGAAAATTTGACGTTCCCTCAGCGTGATATATCTATTAAATTTTTTAAATCATCTATTACGAATTAGTAAAAGTCTAAAAGAAGAATTATTATCTGTGACATACGAATTACGAAGTATTACAACTAAATGTTGATGCCGCTGACTAATAAACGGGCCATAAATTCAAAAATCTAAGATACAGAACCTAGAATTTGAGACAAAAAAAAGTCTGTAATCTACAAAACTCAAAACTAATACGAGTATCCAATAAAAATTTAAGACTTCAAATTGAAGATATTAGACCCAAAGCCCAAAACCTGAGATTCAAAGCCCAAAATTTGAAACTTGAAGCCCAAAATTTGAGACCCTAGGCTTAAAATATGTGAATTGATCGAATCTCAAAATTTGGCACCAATACCTCCTCCATTTCTTTTTAATTTATGTCTTTTTTAATTCATCTTATTTGTGCTAAACTGAAATTATTTTTGTTGAACTGAAACTACTTTTGTTGAACTGAAATTATTTAAACCGATTATCTATTAAATTTCCTCTTTAAAGTTACTTATTTTTACTGAATTGAAATTTTTTTTAATGAACCAAACTTATTTTTACTTAACTGAAATTATTTTTATAATTATTGTTTGGGGTAAAAATACCCCTGATAAATGGATCTATGCTAATGCAACACGTGTCCCTATGCTCAGCGTTTAATGAGCCAATTAGAGCATGACACGTGTCATTCAAAGGGGGAAACGGGCTTTAAGCCCATAAACCTAGAAACCGTAAAACGGTGGAAGCCCATCAAATTAGGTTAAATAACCTAAGAGGCACCTGTCCCAAAGACACTATAAATACTAATCATTTACATCAGTTGAAAAAGGACTGAATTGAATAAACATTCAATCCTCACAAATCAGAGAGCTAAAAGCTCAGATATTGAGGTTGTCTCAGACAGCCGGATGATCACTCCTCTCCTAAGAGGAGCCTGATCCCATTTACATTCCGCACTTATTACATCTGTACACGTTCTAACTTGATCGTCGGAAGCGGAGCTCCCACCCTGGGGGTCTCCGTTGTTTTGCGGGTACAGGCGTCCGGAGGTCAGTCTTGGTGTTGTAACTCTCCCGCAGGACACTCAAAAACCCTGAAACATTTGGCGCAGTCTGTGGAGAGAGTACTATTAAGATGGCTTCACGGCAGCCTGTACCGCCTGCTAATAAGAAACGGCCTACGGTCGAGGTCAAAGGCCGAGTGCCTCCTCCCTATCCTAAATGTTTGAGTCGGCTTCAACATCGACCTACCCAGACAACTTTCAGAATACCTCAATGAGGTATTCGCAATCAAGCAAAGTCAGTCAGGCGGCTAGTCCGTCCACACTGGCCCTCGGATAATCCATTTGGCTCCGTATGCGCCTCAGTAGCCATACCGGCCGAAAGGACAACCATGCATGCAGTCGGCCCCCTTTGGAGGTCAGGCGGCAAAAAATGTCCAACATTTGGACTGGCAGCCCTGTCTGTTACAGCTTGAGGAACAACCTTCTATGTCCTTCAAAGAGATAACCTTCTACAGACGGTATTATCTTAGCATCCTGGTTAGGCGGCCAAGTACTACAGGCGTCATAAGGCCAGCTGTTAAGCACAGCAGGCGTCAAATCATGAGGCCAAATGTCAAGTGTTTGGGGTAAAAATACCCTAAACCCGTGGCCCAATGGCCTAGTGACACGTGGCATCCAGCCGTTGGTCAGCAGGGCTCCAATCCTCTGCTGACACGTGTCCTCTAAACCCTAAAAGGGAAACCATCCCTTCCCCACTATAAATAGTGGAAGGACCCTCATTAATGGGGGCTGGAACATTTGTAGTTCACATTGAATACTCCTCAAAGAGAAAAACACTTACCCCGAGCAATATTAATTGCGGAATTCTCCCATTACGCGAGAAGTAACTCCTACATTACGTGCATTCTACCTCCCGTATCTTTACTAACTTGATCGTCGGAGGCGGAGCTCCTACCCCCAGGAGTCTTCGTGATTTTGCAGGCACAGGCGTCGAAGGGCATTCTTGGAATTGTAACTCTCCCGCAGGACACATCAAAAAACCCCAAAACATTTGGCGCCGTCTGTGGGGAGAGTACTTCGAAGATGACTTCTGATACTGTGTCACCGAATCAGGGCAAACGGCCTGTTGTCGAGCCTGAGGTCCAGACGGACCATGAAAGTGGAGACGAAATTGAAACATATGTGGCCCCGGATGGGTCTTTCAGAACGAAGCACCCTCGTGCTAAAGATAGAAGGGAACGGGAAATCAGCCAAGCTGCTCCCAACAACCCAGCCGGGCAAACGGCTGGAATTGCCCAAACGGTGGGGGGCTCGGCCCCCGTTACAAGAAACGAACTCATGTCTTTCATGAATAGTTTCAAGGGTGAGATCAAGAGCCTCATCCGGTCAGCTACTCCAAAGAAGGGTCAGCCGGCCAAGAAGCCTTCTGAAAAGAAGGCGGTCAAAGAACGAGTTCCTACCCCTCATCCCAAGCCAAAGGAGGGGGAGGGCTTAAGGTTTGATCCAAGCAGACTCTGTTTTCCTCAAGGGGAGCTGCGAAAGGCCATCCGGCACGTACAGCCGGATGGCTCCAAGAAAACCTTCTCAGACGCCCGCACATTTCTCCAAGAGAAGCGAGGTCAGGCGTCTGCGTCGGCCTCAACGTCGACCTTCCCGGACAGTTTCCATGACGTCTCACACAGGCGTACGGGAACGAACCTTAGGAGCCAGACGGGCGAAGCTTCTGCCCGGTTTGGACCCAAAGTGATCCAGCCTGGTCTATTCGGCACACCGAATGGGTTGGGTGGATCCCCTTTCATGTCGCCGGGTCTTTTCGGTGGGCAAGCGCAGCAGCCGTTCCAACCCACGGACTGGCAGCTGCGCCTGCTGAATTTGGGGGAACAGCCGACGGCGTTCTCACCAGAGATAACCCAGGCGGCACAGCCGCCTAAGATCAAGAATGTTTTGGTGGGGGCCTATGACGGCACCAACAACCCAGAAGACCATCTAATGGCCTACTCTAACCTCATGTACCTCCAGGGGTTAGATGATGCCGTCTGGTGTCGATGCTTCCCGGCTACCCTCAAGGGCATAGCCCAGCGGTGGTTTGGTAACCTACCAGCCGGTTGCATCAACAGCTTTCGAACTTTGGCGTACTTGTTTACGTCAAATTTCTCAATGTATATTCCTGCCAAAAAGACTAGCCTCGACCTAGGGGCAATACAGCAGGGCGACCGGGAGGGCCTCCGGTCGTACGTCAGACGGTTCAATCTGATGAGAATTCAGATTCCAGGACTATCAGACGAAGTGGCCTATACAGACTTCTTTCGAGGTCTGAAGGATGGGTCGACTTTTAAGTTTGACCTCGTCCGGAAGAGGGTTGCTACCCTCCAAGAGGCATTAATTGAAGCTGAAGCCTATATACAGGCGACGGAGCTTTGTGCTGTTAAGCAGCCGTCAGATTCTAAAAAGTCTGATAAAAAAGAGAGCCGGCAACAGCATCAGACGGCAAGAAAGGAAGAAAAGAGAAAAGGGGTCTGGGCAGCTGACCGATCAGGACAGCCGGCCCAGAAGATCAGGCGGAAGTCAGAACCATATGTCCCCAAATACGAGTTCACAAAAGATTGCTCCACCATC